GATGGTGGGTCGGGAAGTTGGGCGTCCGGTTGGACTGATGGTGGGTCGCGAGGTTGTAAAAGCTGTTGGGCGACCAGTGGGACTGATGGTGGGTAGGGAAGTTGTAGAAGCTGAGGGGCCGAAGGTTTCAAAAGCTGTTGGGCGTGCGGTTGGACTGACGGTGGGGCTGGAAGTTGGAGAAGCTGTAGGGCTGGTTGTTTGTTGGCAAGGTGTAAAGATCACAGCCCAGTAGATAAGTGTTCCCTCATCATCTAATAGAGCATCTTTGATTTCCAATGTCCAGTCACCCCTGGGAGAAGCTCCATTGAATACAGATAGAGGTTGTTCTGGCTTCACATTTGTGCGTGCTTCATTAACACAGATTGCATACCACGTGCAACACTGGCATCATACCAAGCCCCGTCGATGAGTATAGTGCTAGCATCATCAAATACCCAGTGGAGATCTGAGGTTCCATGACAAATTTGATGGGACAGCTGAACAAGACTACCAGTGGGTCCCTTGATATCAATCTCCAAGTCACCTGTAAATGGATGGGATATGTCCACTTCAACCTTCACATCACAGACATCAACGGAGACATCCACAGAAATTCTGCTACTGACTTTGCCTGTGTCAGGTATGGAAGAAGAGTAGGTAACAGGTGTAGAGGCTTTTGCAGAAGACAGGCTGCTGAGGAGGCCAAGACCAGCAATGAGAGGGAGCTTGGTGAACATGGCAGCAATGATGCTACAATGGAAGTGAGAGAGGCAGTCAAGTGTTATGGGTTGCTTGTGGGGAAGAAGTAGATGTCTTGAAACAGAATAATGAGCTCTGTCGGAAAGGACGATGGAGAACTGGGCTTGCCCACTTGTCACCACGAAATTACCGTACTAATACGCAATTAGTCACGAATGTCATTTCTAAACAAACTGGCCTACATCTAGCTACGGTAGCTAGCAGTACAGGACATTCGAGAAGTGCATGGGCGAAGTTGCAATCCCACTTCTTGAATCGAATCGAATCAGCGCTGTAACCTTTACCGTACCGATAGCGTACATGTACCAGTACCTCTCGAGGAGTCAGAGTCTCATTCGAATGAGATACCAGTACTCAGCAAACAATCCGAAGGTCTGTCGAGTGGTACACATCATGTAATAACTTCGATAAGTTCAGAGAAAATCCATCTGTCAACTAAAAGAGACTTCTAAAAGTGCGAAACACCCCCCGCTTCCTGACAAGTGCACACGCTGCCAATCCCTAAGTTAACACTGCAAATGTATCATACGATTTTAGCAAAGAGTGTGTGTACCGGTTGCTTGTACGTATCATCGCACTGATATTTGCTTGTGTGAAATTGTGAACGAAGAAATGGAAGCAAAACGTTTTGGATTGTCTCTCAAAGCTCTGGCTTGCGCCGGCGACTCATGAAGCGACATTTTCCGGGGTGGAGCCATCGCTAGACTACTTTTAATCTGAGAGATTGCTTTGGAGGGAACAACTTGTCTACACTACTCAGTTTATTCGAAAGCTTTCCGGGCCAACGTCGTGGAGGAAGAATCGTTTGCTGATGCATTGCAAGACGCGCTTCTTGAGGGCACTGGCGGTGGAATCGCAGCCCAACTCGTACATGGTGCACAGATTAAAGGCAACTCGTTCGGTCAAGAATGCGGTGGGATCCTCCCGCACCAATGTTTCCAACACATTGACGGCTTCTGCCATGCGTCCAATGTAGAGGGCGCAAATGGCCAAATTGTTGACGCATTCATTCAAAAGAGTGCTGTGAGGAGCGACGCCCACCACCGACGGACCAATCCAGTCGGTCGATCGGTAGACGGGAACGACGGAATATTTTCGCAAGATATCCGTGGCTTTTCGAAAACATTCAATGGCTTGTTCGTAGTTGGCATATGCAAAACACAGCAATCCTTCATTGGCCAATAGTTGTGCCGGTGCATGCGCCACCGCCATGTTGGCTTCGTTGTTGTCGACAGTATTATTGGCCTTGACAGTGTCCCAGTCTTGCTGTGCCACCTGAAAAATGTAGGATGCTTCTGCCACCGCTCCGGCATGTAGCAGGTATCTACCTTGCACTGACAAGACTTCGACTCGATAGGCCATTGCGAGTGCTTTGGTGTTGGTGATTATTGTCGTTGTCTCTTGTTTGACAGCGGTTTCAATTTCGGGCAACATGTGTTCGAGCGCCTGAATGGCCAATCGCCATTCTCGTTTCCTCGAAAAGGCATTGGCCAATGCTCGGTATGTACAGAGTTTCCAACGTGCATCATCGGATTCTTCGTCCATACGAGTGGCCAAAGCATTCAGGGCATCGGCTCCTCGATTGGGATCGTCTGTGGTATACAGCAAGGACTCGGAGCCAATGATATCTGTGACGAACGACCAAAAAGGAAAACAAATAAATCAAGAACAGTTAGTTGAGGGATCAAATAATATAATGGAATTGTCAAAGAGGATAATTCCTTAACGTCCGCGTTGTTCATACTCACAGAGACTCCAAGGAACCCACTTGATGGACTCCCAGTTGATCGACTCGTCCTCTGGTCTGTAGCCTTCATTAAAGTGAAGAAATTTCCATTTTTCAATTTCCTTGCCCAATTCTGTGTATCGTCGCAGCTTGATCAAAGCATGACAGTGAAGTGCCATTATTTCGGCCGTCTCTTCCTTGATACTCCCACTAGGTGCGGCTCCCGAAAAGAGGAGTGAATTGTAGGTTGCCGCATAGGCCGAATCCATGCCGCGCAAGAGATCGTTCGACACTTGCAGGACATCTCCCCAGGCGCGTCGTTCCACCAGTGTTCGCAACGTTTGAATTGGCTCGTCCCCAATCAAAGGAGGAGGTCGTAGTAGCGGGGCTATCATTTGCTGTGTTCGAACCGAAGGACCCGACAGGAATTTGTCCACGAGATCGTCCAACGAAGAAGAAAAGGGATCCGTCTTGTTGGGAGGAGGCGGTGGCGGCGACGCCACTTTGGCGTTGGGAGGCATTCCAACACCACTTGGTCCTGGAGACTTGGACATGGTGGCTATCAATCTTATCAGTTATTAATAGGTTGAACGGTGGCCTGTAACGGTACAGTAGAAGGCTCCACAAACTTATTAGAAGGCTAGAAGGCTCCACAAACAACAAAACGGGGGGTGTTGTGTCGGAGAAGTTGGTTGTTGGATCTTTCCGAAAAATCATTAGGGTTAGGTAGCCTAACCAATGAAAATCCTACTCGTGGTCAATCACACATGCTCCGGCAACACTGGCACAACCCCGACAGCGTTGCAAAACAAATGACAGCTGATGTAATAAGTTCCTCTGCCTTGTCCTTGGTGGGTACTTGTGGCCATCCATCAAGATTAATACCATTGAAGGCCGCTTCCTCGCCATGCACAAAAATTAATCACAAAATTTAATCTGGTAGAGTCGTCGATGGTTTGCCTGTCACACCATTGTGAATGCATCCACGAATAAGGAGGAGTAAAAAAGGGCACCACCACCTAAAAATAATGCGTGGGGCAGAGTGACAGTCTGCGACCGAGCCACATGTAGTCTTCATCAGTTCAGCCAACAGAGCTCACAATGAATCGAATCTTCCACGGTTTCCTACTTCTGCTCATAATCCTGATGCTTCGTTGCTCCACAAGCAAAACATGTCTTTCTTTCTCGCCCAATCCCCTCGATGCAACGCCGTTGGCTTGTTCAGGTCCTTCGCAAAGGGAGCTGCTGTTGTCTTTATTGCCACATGGCTCTTCCACTTTGAAAACCTGGCAGATCTCAAGTTTTTTGGAGAGCAAGTCCTCCCTTTTGGCCTTGGATTTCCGCTGCGAATGTACTTTTCCCTCTTTGCGGCGGAAGACAAGCTCTTGATTCTTCCTTGTGATCAGCTCACAAACTACAAACTCCTTCAAACGACACAAAACCCAATCTTGTTCAAGAAATGTGTTCCTAACCCTGACAAGCTCACGGTGAAAAAAGACTTTGTTACCTTTGCCAATTCCTCTACCAACATCTTTCCGACCTGTGGAGAAACCAAAGTGGTTCGCCACTTCAACTACACGTCCCTGCAAGGTGACAAGAAAGACATTGAGGAAATGATCCCTTGTGCATCCTCGACCTTACAAGAGAAGATTCATTTCTTCGAACATCACCGGCCCCTGATTGACGGTCCTTACTCGGACGTCAATGTCTTTCATGTTGGGCCGGATGACACGCTGGCACTGGAAACAGATTTCAAGGCCAAGAACTTTGTACCAAGGACTTTTTCGTTCCGTCAGTTAGCGCCCACTGTCGCTTTGGCCCACTTTTTTGGTTCGGGTACAACACCCGTCGACTACTTTCACTCGCACATGGATCGTTTCTTCTCCTTTGGGATCCAAAAGACAAAGGTGTGGGAGCTCATCAACCCAAAATATCATGAAAGTTTTGATTATGTTTGGAGTGGTAACGCTCTGATCCTTACCAAGGAAAAGGAACGTGTTCCCCGTGTTGTGGTCGAACAAGAGCCTGGAGACATACTGTTCATGGCTCCATGGTGGTTTCACAAAACTCGATACAGCGATCCTTCCAAGACACTTCAGACCAAGAACCTCAATTTCAACTTGCATATCATGACAACGCGTTCTGTGGCTGGCTTGGGGTGCATGGTTTTCATGAACTGGCTCAAGACGCCCACTTGGTTCTATGCTTCCGATACCAACAAGAGAGATTTTGAAACACATGGGTTGGCATATCAACACGAGGCATCTGATCGCGGAGGGATGAACTCTGGGTCTTTTGTGGAGCTTGCGTAACTAGAGCATCTGTGTTGGCTGCAAGCTACTAGCTAGATAGCCAGAGCAATAGAGAACTTGTTAGACATACGGTACCTGTACGATATGGCACAGTATTCATACTCTCAAAGGATATTCTTCATCCAGAAGACCCACATCCCAATTGCCCTTGTTAAGGCCACTCGGTTATGTCTCTGTGGATCAAGCAAAGCAAAGCACTTTGGACCCACTGTTGGTCCTCTATTTGTCTCCCCTGATCCCCAGAACCTAGTTTTGCCTCTTCTTTACCTAAGCCTGGCCCTTGTAGGCTTCTGTATGACTTCCCTGCTCTAAACCCCCCTTCTGTCAGAGTATCTGTGTTCTCTAACGCCCTACTAGCTAGTTAGAGCCATCGCGTACGAAGGGGGGAGCGTTGACAGCCCGAGAGAGCCCGAGTTGACCCGAGCCGAGTTGAGTCAAGTGACTTATTCGAGTGACAGTTAGTCGAGACACTCGGAACGCGGATCGATCTTTTTAGCAACAAGCATACAACCTGGTAATAGGGTTAGAACTACTTGACCAATGACACTTCCTTCCTCCTCACCCCCTCAACTCAACTCGCTTTCACTCTCACAAATGCAGACATCACATTGGAATCTTGGTGCCACCTCTAGTAGCTAGTGGATACACTGCCGCTCTTTTCCCCTCCAAGGACTACACATCATCTGTGTTTTGCCTCCTTGTCACCACTGGCCAGCGAGAAAGATGAAGAACCGCCGCAGTTCGAAGAAGAAAGGAGGGAAAAAGAAAGACAAGAAGACTGCCGCAGAACCGTTACCAAAACCAGTTTCCCCCAATTCGTTCATACCGGTAGAGATCAAGGCAGTTCTCCAACAAATGAACTCGGACGCGGCAATTTGTCGGCATGGAGGGACAAACAGAAACGATGCAATCGAGGAGATCTGCGCAAATAGTCCCGATTGGATCAGTATGTCCTTTCAAATCTCAAAGGAATTCCAGAATGAACATCCTGTCGATTTGTATGCTATGGCAGCTTCACTATGTCTGATTCCGCGTGACGGGCCTTATTGGGATTTGGCCGGGGAAGTCATGAAGGCGGCCATTTTACTTGAAAAAAATGTCTTTTCCTCAAGCGATGATGATGAAGCAGAAAAACTACTCAAGATTGGGTGGTGTGTGACCAAGCATTGCGGTAGCAAGCGCGATGTCATTGTGTACTTGGACCAGAAAATTCCATGTGATTGCTTGAAAGAGATGAAAAAGAAAATGCTGCAAGAGCCTGAAATACGCTGCTGTTGCTACTGCCAAAAGTTGGTGACCAAAACAATGTGGTGCCCGAACTGCGAAAGCTACGAGTACTGTTCCAAGAGATGCCAGCTTGAACACTGGTCTGTCCACAATATACAGTGTGAGTACTTCTGTGGACGAATTTCTATGGAAGATGCGAACCAGAAGTTGGATGCTGCAAAGAACAATTTCGAATAGTGCATCTTTCGGAAGCAAGGCCCCGAACAAGCGTTCCGCTACTTGTTTACCAGCTTGTATCCGAAGAAATGATGGGTTGCTAGCTAGCCAGGCAAGAGCTGCTGTCGGTTGCTTTGACTTCAACCAAAATTGCAGGATAGAGAAAGAACGAGCGACGCTTCAAGTTGTTCTGAGAAAAGGAGAGGTCGGACCTCCATGCTGCCGTGCTTTCTTTCTACCGGTACATGCAACCTTTGCTCGCGAGTGGCGTTCTGTGACTAGCTAGACCAGTGAACAAGCAGATCTATCTATCTATTACGGTACAGTTGCCACGTGAAGTCTCAAATGATTAGCAAGCGCCGGGCAGAGCCCATCAATTGTCGTCGTTCTTCGAGGAGGCTCTGTCCTTTAGGTCATTCAACTGAGACATTGCCGGCTTCACTGTTCTGGATTTCTTGCTCTTGGCCGTGCTCTTTTTCGACAGCTCCTCTAGTGCAGAAGTGGGCTTGCTTTCTGTTCTACCCCTATCGTCACTTGGCGGCTTCTTTCTTCGCTTCTTTGAAGCCGTCTCGTCCAACAAATCAAGGGCAGGGCGGACCAGTTTGTCTTTTCTCCGTGCGGATGATGATGTTCTGCTCCCACTACTAGATGACGACCGCTTCTTGGACTCTTTCTTTCTGGGAAGGGGGGGAGGCTCGAACGGATCATCGTCGTCGCCTGGGATGTCGCCGAGCAGGATATCAGCATCGAACGGATTGTCGTCGTCAGATTCTAAGCCGTCCAGCAAGCTACTCTCATCGCTCTTCTTCCTCCTCTTCCCTTTCTTTTTCTTTGGTTTCTTTTCGGAAGAGCCCCTGAGTTCGTCGTCGTCGTCGTCGTCGTCGTCATCATCATCATCATCATCTGAGGACCATTCTCCATATCCGTATTTGCGGGCCAATGAGGTAACGCCACTAGCAGCACCAGCTTCACTCGGTGGCACCACATCTCCGGGATAAGCCCCCAACAAACTTCTCGACATCAAGTTGTTCGATGTCACGGCTGCACGGATTTGCCCTACGACACCGCTTCCGCCATCCTTGTCACTGGGACGTGGACCAGAAGTCCTCCTTCGAACAGAATCTCTCGTCAGAGCTTCAGCGTTCAGGGTCGACTTTTTCTTGCGCTTTTTGCGACTAGATCGGGATGAACCGCCACCGAATTCCATTTCCAGACCAACTTCCATTGCAGGTCCTGTCGGCCCTATTCCAAACTTGACTGTGACTGGCGAATCATTTTCTTTCTCCGCTGACAGGCCATCTAGGACCCAATCGACGTCGCTCTCCTCATCTTCGTCATATTGATAAGCCCTTTTCTTCTTTGATCTCTTTGACTTTTTCTTTCGTTCTGATTGTGCAAGATCTTCGTCTTCATCCCCTGCGTACGCGTTCACAGCCTCGTCATGATACGGGCCCAAACCGTGCCTTCTCATGAAAGCAGCGCTGACATGTTTGTATCTTGCAGCTTGAATGTCACCAACACGCTCCAGTGTTGCCAGGGCGTCCTGATCAGCTTGTTTGCTCATCTTTCTCCGTTGTTTCCCCTTTACAGGCATTCGCCCGCCAGAGTAGATCTGATGCATGGACCCGGCTCCCGATTTTGGCCCATCCCCTGGAAGGTACTCTCTTGCAGCCATGCTTCTTTGAAGGCCAGTCGGCGCCAGCTTTACCCACAAGAAGGCAACCAAATCTGATAATTGTGGCACGTACAATTGTACCCATTCCACAACGAATACCAGAGCAAGGACCAAAACATGACCGATTGGGCCTTGTCCCAATAAGAATCGATAAAGACCGTTTGGCACTCGAATGGGTTCCACATCCTTTTCATCCTCTGCTGGTTCCGCTGGCGATTGACCATCAGATTGTGCTGCCTTGACCACGTTGCTTTCTTGCACAGCGCTATCTGTTTCTTCCGTGGAATCAATTGCTGTGGTGGCAGCGACGACTTTCTTCTTACGACTCTTCGTAGACTTCCTTCTCTTCACAGTTGGTAGAGCTGCGTCCTCTTCAACAGAAGCGACACCCGGTGCTGATTCATTAAAAGGGTCGTCTTCTGCTTCTTCTGCTCCCTTATCCTGGCAAATCGGAGACGGTTCCTCCGCATCCTCAGAAATCGCAGCTTCCATCATATCATCGTCGTCGTCACCATCATCATCACCGCCCATTGCAGGCACGGCAACGTCATCATGATCCACTTGCAACAACCCCTCATCATCAATGTCTGCGAGTGTCGTGGATTCACTGGATTGCGCCACAAATGCTGGTTTACGAGACTTTTTCCTTGACTTTCGCCTCTCCTTTGGCTGTGACACGGCGTCTTCATCTCGTGCACTGCTCTCATCGTCAGCAAGTTCAACGTTCTCTGCACTCAGAGGAACCTGTTCCTCTTGCCTTCTGGAAACTGCTTCAACTGGATCTGTACTTGTCTCCTTGGCTGGTTGCCGCAGTGCCGTTGTGGATTGTTGTTGATCGTCAATATCCTCTAGTTTGGTTGCCATTACAGTGTCAATATATCTCTCCAAGGCGTCTTCTTCCTCTTCTTCCTCTCTTGCCACAACATCCACACCCCTTTCATCCTTGTCATCGCGTTCGTCCTCTATTCCCAAATCTCTGTTGGATACGGTTGCCACCAGTCTATCAATATACTCATCCAACTCCACGGCCGTGAGCAACTGGTCAATGTAGGCATCCAAAGGAGAGTCTGGTTCCATCTCGCCACTTTCTCTAGGGGCTGCTGTAATGACGGCAGCTTGGTCCATGGCGGGTATTGTTGTCGTAATGCTACTGGCCAAAATGGCATTTTCTCCTTGTGGTTGCTGCTGTGGAACCACCGATGTGGTCGTTGCCAAGAGAAAGTCAATATACCGATCCAATGCTCGATCGGCGTCATAATCTTGTTCCAGAAAGTCAATATATCGATCCAGAGCACGATCATTGTCATAATCTTCTTGCAGGAACTCAATGTATCGATCCAACGTCTCGTCGTCTTCGTCGTGATCGTCATCATCGCCTCCACCACCACCACCTTGTCGTTGTTCTGCCCCTTCGGATGTATCCTCCCAAAACGTACTTGTGGTAGTGGTAGTGGTGCCATCATCCTTCTTTAATGGTGATGCTGCGTCACCATCTTGTTCTGGAATTTGAGTCTCATCATCCAATGGCAAGCGGCGAACATCATTGCGACTGCTTTTCGTCAATGCTTTGGCTTTCATGAGAGAAGCTGTAGAATGGTATGTCTCTTCTCTCGCTGTTGGTGCTTGTCGCTCCTTATCAGCGTTGAGGATTGTAGCGGTATCTTTGGGGTTACCATTAGTTTGTACCGGTAGTACATCTCGTGTTGTTGTCGTGTCGGTATTAGGACTATTACTGGTAGTAGTTGCAGGACAATAGGTAGCAATCAAAAAGTCAATATACCGGTCAATTTCTTCTTCTGAAGCCTCTCGAACCCTCTTGTTCTTCTTGTTGTTGATGTTGTGTCTGGTACTTCCACCTCGACATTCCAGCAGTAATTGGCTATGTTGTCTGTTGTTGGATGGAAGCATATTCGTTGCCTCCTTATCTGTCAATAATCCATCCACTACCAACTGTCTTCTACTATACCCCAAGGAAACGACTAGGCGAACGCAACATAGTAGTATTGCCGACGCTGACAGCAAATACTGTAGTGACAGTGATACCCTCATCTCTTGACAAAGTTACAGGTGGAGGTATAGTCCGGTACCACTAATAGGCCTTTTGATTGAAAGAGCAGCTTGTAAAATAGTGCAAATGTCCCTGCCAAGCTTGCTATGGTAGAAACAGAGACAGTGGTAGCCGATGTTGCTTGGATATACGGTAGAGGCAGCTAAAGGAGACTCGACTGCTCCCTCTCTTCGTGGTTGACACACAAACACAAAGATTTTGGTGAAGGCCGGAAAACAAAAATATACCAGCTAGTGATGGCGTTGGGCTGGATTTGGTCGTTGCGTCAAGTGCGATCATTTTGGATCTTCCTGTCGGAGGCCAGACTGATCTACCGGTATCTCTAACCCTCTGAAGATATCGGTACCTTTAAGTTATTGCTGCATTTTGAGTTTATTGCAGCATTTTGAGTTTATTGCAGCATTTTGAGCTTATTGCAGCATTTTGAGCTTATTGCAGCATTTTGAGCTTATTGCAGCATTTTGAGCTTATTGCAGCCTTTCGAGCTTATTGCAGCATTTCGAACTTATTGCAGCATTTCGAACTTATTGCAGCATTTC